AAGACTTTCTTTCTTTCTCCTTCTTTTCCTCTTTCTCCCCTCCTCCCCTCCTCCACCCTTGCCTTGTCCCCTCTCCCCCTCCTCTGCCCCAACGCCTTGGCCCTGCTCCCTTCCCTCCTCCCTTGTCCCTTTCTCCTTTCTTCCTACCTATGAACTTGTTTTGAGCTCCTACTCTAGGCTCTAAGGGTAAAACTGTGAACACATACAACATATCACTGAGAGTCCAGCAGCAGGATGACAATGGCACAATTAAGGAGTGGGCCTGGGTCATACCAGAAGGTCAGATGTGCTATAAAACAGGGTGGGGGGGTCTATGGGGGCACTGGGGGTGCGGCTACCACTTTAAACAGGTGGTTAGGGAGGCTACAGAGAGAAAGTGTCATTTGAGTACAGGCCTGAAGGAGGAGCCAAGTGCGTGGTGGGGTGCAGAGCAGTGAGACCCACCAGTCCAGCCACACCACTGAAGCCTAAGGGCATCTCTGAGTGTCATGCCTGGAAGGGTTTTTGTTGATCACTGTGCCCATTTAATTGGTGGGAAAATTGAGGTGCTGAGGTTGGTGATGGGCCTGAGGTCTGCCTCCTAGCCCAGAGCCTGACCACCCTCAGTGCCTATGGCCTGCCCCCACCCCTAGGCCCCAGACATGGATCTGGAGGTCTCTTGGCAAGGCAGGCCAGGTGCAGTTTGTTCACACCCAGCTAAACCCAGGCCCGGCCCTCGGGAGGCCCAGTCCTGTCTCCACTCCGCCTGGGGGCTTTGGGGAGGAGGCTTGTGGCCTTGAGCTGCAGCCCACAAGGCCACACCGGCCAGTCAGTGAGGTAGACAGTGCCCTGTTCGAAAGGGTCTGTGGCCTTGGGCATCTAGGCCCAGAGTGGGTGGGAAATAGAGATGGCCTCGAGGGGCCCAGCGTGGCTGTTGGGGCTGCCATCCCCACAGCAGCGGGACCTCGGGCCCTGAGGTCAGGCTTTTGCAAGAAGTGGGCTGCCCACCCGCTGGACAGGCAGAGAAATGGGAATTATGTGGCCTCAGGGCTGAGTTTTCAGAGCCCACAGGCAGCATATTCACAGGTGACATGGGTAGGACAAAGGAATCTCCTCATGGGGGGTCCTTCAAGGAATTCCGACATTGGCCACTCCAGAGTGCCAAGGATTCGCCCTTCCCTGGTGGCTGTCTGCTGCTCTGAGGCCAGCTCTGTCAGATCCTTTCCACTGGATTCTTCCCACTGTGTGAAACTGGCCATCTGCGCCCTTGCTGGGGAGACTGGGCTCTCCAAGGTGTTTGTGGCCCCAGAAGTTGAGGGAAGCCCACTTTAAGCAACATTTTCCAGCCGGTTCCCCAGGCAGATGTACCCAGCAGAGCTCCCCCTTTATGAGGTCTGGGGGATGGGAGCTGGCCTGCCATCCCACCACCAGCTGCTCTCCCTCCTGCTGACCTGACCACCCAAGTCCAGGCACCCTTCTGCTCTCCTGCTCTCCCAGCCTGTCCCCTCCACCTGTACTGTCTCACTTGGTCGCAGGTATCCTCTTATCTCCTGCTTGTCCCTGGGCTGGTGGGGCCGAGAAGTCATTGGGATCAGGCTTCGGGACCTATTAGAGAATGCAGCCGTTTATGGGACCTTCTCCTGGCCCCTGAAGGGACCCTGTGGGTTTCCTAGATGTTGATCCAGGAAAGAAGCGACCCTGTCTGAGGGCACTCAGGGGTGAGTGAGGGGCTGTGCCCTGTTTTCTTAGCTTCAGGATGGCTGGCCCCTTCCTTGGGTCCTTAGGGAGCAGTCCCAAACCTTCTCCCATCTTATCCAGCCTGCTCCATGGCTCAAACAGGCCCTTTGGGATGCCTGCCTGGGGACCTCTGACAGGCCAGGTCTCCTTAGACAGTCACTCAAGTCTCAGTGTGTCTGGGCAAGTCCCATGTTTGCCTGTGTATGGGACTGCATGCCATGTTGGCATGTGTAAAGCTGTGGAGGGATGCACATGAATGGACAGTAAGCATAGGTTTCTGAGCCTGTTGGTGAGGCAGAAGGGGTGGGGAGTGGGGGAGGGTGCCGTGGCATGTGTCTATCATGTCTGCATGGGAAAACCGTGGGCGACTCCAGGCTTGGAGTTCAGCAACCGGGCCCAGGTGCCCAGCCTAGCTGGGTGAATGCTGCCACCTGCTGGCCAGCCAGGTATGTCCATGTCGGGGGCTCCGGCTGCAGGATGGGGCTATGGCCACAGGAGTGGTGTGGCTTGCTCATTCCAGTCCCTGGGCAGACTGGAGCCATGATGGGTCTCTAGATGTTGTGAGCATCAGTACCCGAAGGACATGTGACATCACAGAGTGGTGGTCCGCCCCAGGGCATCTGGTCACAATCTGGAGCACAGCCTGGAACGTCCACCATGTTCCCAGGTAAAGTGGATGCTACTGGCCCCAGGCCCTGAGAGGTCTGGTGGGCTAAACAGAGGCCAGCCAGGAATGGGAGCAGCCAGTTCTGTGGACCCGCTGGGCCCCGTGGGTCTCCATGCCCAGTCCCCCAACAACCTGTTTCAAACATAGCTCAAGCTCATCCACCCCCTCTCCTTCGCATGGCACTCAGGGCCCTTCCCATCCTTGATCTCCAATCCTGTCTGAGGCGCTGCTATGGAGAGCCCCCGACCCCAGCGGGACCGAAGGCCTCATCCCTGACAGGATCTGTTGGAAGGCCTCCGAGGATGGGAGCCGCATCTGGTTCGCTCCCAGTGCAGAATAGGTGCGTGAATGGGAGATGGACGGCCAGGCCCCCACTGAATCCCTCACGGCCATTCGCCTGGGGCTTGGCTCATGCCGACAGGAGGGACTAGGACTGAGGGAGAGGGCCTGGGAAGGGCGTTCCTGGTGGAGGGAAATGCACAGGCAAGAGCCTGGGGGATGAAGGTGAGCCAGGCGGGCAGGGGAATGCAGGTGGGGTAGGGGCCCCGTGGGCTTGGGCAAAAGTGATGAGACTCCAGTTACAGTTTCACATGTGGGACCCCTTTCCCTGTGGAAAGGGCTTGGTGAGGCTCCCCTCCCCTCCCTAGCATGTGGTGCTGGGGGCCTGCTCTGAGCCGCTCTCTTCATGCCCGGGCCCAAGCAGCTGTCAGGGGTAGGACCAAGTGGGTGCCTGACTCTGGACAGCCTCGCCTCTCCTCCGGGCGCCTGTCCCAGGCAGTGGAGGCTTTGAGGGGATCTTCAGGACACGGTGAGCTCTGGGCTTCTGAGCCTGCAGCGGGGGAGGGTCTCCTGGTTTCACCCCTCATACTGCCTCTGCTGCTTTCCTGTGTCCCCTAAGCTGAGCTGCACTAATGACTTCCTGTCTCTCCCGCTCTGCCCCCCCCGAGGGCCCCAGACCGGAGCTGTGAAGATTCCGAAACAAAGTGAGGCTGCCCTCTGGCATTAATCTGCACTGTGTTACTCATAGAGGGGCTGGTGGGGCTGCTTTGCTGCTTTAGGGGGGCTCCACAGGGCCAGGCAGCTCTGGCGACTGGACAAGAGTGGCAGCTGAAGCCGACACTTTATGAGCCAGGTTCTGGCGCTGGGTGGGCAGGCAGGGCAGGGCTGGAAGGAGGACAGATGCAACACTGCAGAGGCTTTCTGTGAAAATAGTGGGAATATATTTGACAGGATGAGTTTGCTGTGATTTGTACAGTACAGCCTCAGAGTTCCCCAATGTTTTATTTATCAGCACTAAGGAGGCATTCTGAGTGGCACACAACACCTTCTAGAAAGGAGATTTGGGCCTGATTTGGTCTCTTTCAAAGTACCAAAATAAAAACTTTTGACATGTACATTGCACCCAAAGTAAAAATGGAAAAAAAAAAAAAAGAAACAAACCATGAACCTCAGATGCCTAAGAACAGAAGGAAGCCTCTCCCACACTCCTACCCTCTCCGAAGACACAATTCTGTAAAAAGAACGTGCGTACCAACTCCTGGGTCACATCAGTGCATGAGATGCCAGCAGCGCCACACCCGGCCCTGAGTGTCCCAGCCAGTTGCTCTGACTGCAACCCTGGGGCTGGGGCCCGCTGGCGGGGGAGCCAGTGGAAGACTTCTTGGGGTGGCTGGTACCTGTGGGCCTTCCATGCAGCCCCCCATTGCGTCTTCCCACCTTGCTCCTCTCCCAATCTCCCAGGTAAAATGAATCAAGGAAGCCTGTATTCACATTACAATATGAAAATAGCACCAGAAACTTCAGAGCTAAATTGCTGATACTTGCAGCCGAGAGCTCCGTGTAGGAGGGAGGCTCTAGAAAGGCAACCACAGAGGCTGGGGAGGGAGTGTGTGTGTGTGGGAGGGATTGGGGGATGGGGAGAAAGGACCAGTGGGAGGTGGCTGATCAGCTGTCTCCCTGTCCAAATGGGAACCTGGTTCTCAGGGGTCAAGGTGCACTGGAGACCAGCGCTTCTGTCAGAGGCATGGATAGTGGCTGTCATGACCATATGGTCAAAGATGGCCTGTTGTGCTCTGGGGGCAAGGCAGCTCGCACACTGCTCTTCGAGGTGGAGAGCCTTGCACTTCCCATTTGATTTGTAAGGCCACTTTGGAATTGCAGCAACAGCAGCAACAAGACTAAGAGGGGCCTGCTGCGATCCGACCGCGGCTGCCTCAACTTAGTTCCCTGCTAGATGACATGGGGTGGGGTGAGCCCTGTTCAAACCTCTAAAGGAGGGGGCACATAGGGTGCAAGGTGTGAGCTGCCCTTACTTCAAGTTCTTGGTACTGAAAAAACAGCTGTGTGGTCTCGTAGAGCCTGCAGCTGGCCTGCCCCTTACCCTCATTTTCTAGGTGGAAAGGGATTGCTGTCCATCAACCCCAGGCCTGCTCAAAGCATCAGAGTCTCAGCTCTAACACCAAAGTCTGAGCACTTGCATGGTAGATCAGGTGGATTACAACGCGGCCACCAATCCACCTATCTCCGAGGACTAAAGTGTGCCAGTGTAGACAGGAGTCCCTTATTCACTGGGTTTGTCCCCCAGCCCTTCTCCCATACACTTTCCCACTCCTATAAATTACTCAGAAGGGTCCTTTTTTAAAGGGATCTTGAAGCTGGTTAGTCTCTGTCCGAAGAGCTGGCTGAGGAGGTCGTTCTGGGATTCAGCTGTCCAGCAGGCTCGGGAGTTGGCATGTTCAGCACCGTGGACAGATCTCCCCCTCTTGGGGGTCCTGTGCAGGGGTCTTGCCTGGGGGAAGGCCTTGCCCAGCCCATCCTTGCTGCGTCTGAAGTCCCGGTGTGTGTGGCCGGGCTCCCCTCTCTGCTGCTCTGAGGGCTGGGGCACTGTAGAGCTGCTCTGGCTACCAGGCCTGGGCTTAGCAGGGAGCACACGGCTGGGAGTAGCCTGTTTCCGGGGAGCCCGGGGGGGCTTGTCGGGGACTGAAGGGGCTCTCCCCAAGCTCCCCACACTGTCACTCTTGGTTGGCCCCAGAGTCCGGCCCTTTCTCTTCTTCTCTTTCCCCTCCCCTTCTTCCCTGGGGACCAAGCTCCCTTGGGGTCCCTGGTCACCAGCTTCTCTCAGTGCCTTGGGGTAGCCCTTGGGCAGGGCTCGAGTTGGGGGCTTGTCTGTGGCAGGGCTCTGGCTTGGGCAGTTGGGCTTGGCCGGGGTGGTGGCTGTCTCGCTTTGGAGTTGCCCACTGGCTGGTTGAGGCTGGCTGCCACCTGCTGTCTTGGTGCTGTGCTGTGGGCCTCCATCGCCCTGGGAGCTGGGGCCTGGCTTGGCTTTGGGGGCAGTGGGCTTCTGCCTGTCCTCAGTGCCACGGGCTGGCTCGCCAGGTGTTGGGCTGGCCATCATCTTCTTCAATTTCATTGGGAACTTGGGTGCTTTGCTGGGGATGGACAAAGCTGGCCTGTCCTTTGACGAACTCCGACAGCTCCCATGCTTGGTGGCGGTACCCTTATGAGAGTGGACTCCCTTGACCCCCTCGACCCTCTCAGGCATCATGTGGCATGTGGACACCTGCTTCTCCTTCCAGAGCAGGGAGGGGGCTTCTAGGCGATGGTCAGGGGCACATTTGCCAGGGGTACTTGGGGTCCTGCCTTTCCCTGAGAGTGGGCCAACAGCCCTCTGTTCCTCCATGGCTTGGCCTCTGGCCGCTGGCCGGGGCAGAGACCCCTCCAATGGGAAAGCCTGCTGGAGAAGAGGCCCAGGACTGCCTGGGGAAGCCTCATCTGTTGGGCTCTCCAGGGCTTGGTCTGGCTTGTGGCCATGTTTGCCATCAGCTGAGGTTGCTGGGAAAGGAGACAGAGACGGGAGAAGGAGTTCCTGGGGGTCAAAGGGCAGATTGTTGTCCCCGGCCAAGTGGCCCACAGGATCTGTGGGTCTCTCGGGGGTCCTGGACTGCTCATTGGTGCTGCTGGGAGCTGCCTCCGAGCAGAGCTGGGGCAGGGCTGGGAGGGATGCCTTGTTCGGGGTGTGGCTGCTGCCCGGGGACAGAGACCTGTCCACGACGGGCCCAGGGGTGCTGCTGGGTGTGGCCACTCTGAGCTGTTTGCTAGGCAGTGAGCCCTCCTGGGCCTTCTGCCCAGGGGCGCCTGGCCTCCGCACCCCGCGGAAAGTGAAGGGCTGCTGTCCCCTCCTCAGGTGTTTGTCCATGTGTCGGTCAAACTGCTCCTTCTTGGCGAACGTGTAGTTGCAGGAGCTGCAGACGAAGGACCTCTTGCTGATGTGCGTGACGTTGGCACAGAGCTCACAGGCGTACAGTGGGGTGTGCTGCAGCTCCAGCTCCTCCCTCACCCCGTGTTCCCTGGCCAAGTGTGCACGCAGCTCGCGGAGCTCAGGGTAGACCCTTGGGCACTGGGGGCACAAGAAGACGCGCTGTGGGCTATGCACCGCCAGGTGGCGCTGCAGCTTGAAAGGCTTGGGGAACCGCTTGCCGCAGTGGTGGCAGTCTCTGGAGGGGTCCTTGCAGTCCTGGTGCATTGGGATGGTGTGGAGTAAGGGCTCTCGGTTGGAGCAGGCGTCAGGGGATGGGCTGGGGCACATCTTGGTAGAGCTAAGGAGAGTGGCAGAACTGCTGGGCAGAGTGGGATTTGTGCAGGCCGACTGGTTGCTGTTGGTTAAGTTATTTTCTAGCATTAAAGAGCCATCCTGGTTTGAGCTGTTGGTACGAACCTTGGGTTTTGCCCTCTCCTTCTCTGCAGGGCACCCATTCGCCTGGCCAACTGAGCACTTGCCCCTGTGGGGTTTGGATGCCTGCCCCATAATGCTGCTCAGGAAGTGGGTGACGGTGCTGTTCCCCTCCCAGCATCCAGGTGAGTCTCCCAGGGACCTCCGTGCTGGCCCCTTTCGGGCGAACTGTAGGGCATGCTCCCGCAGGTGCTCATTGTACATCCAGACATCGGCCACCTCCCTCAAGCACATGCCGCAGGCCCACAGCCCGGCCCGGCCCTGCACGTGCTTCTCCTGCAGGTGCTCCCGCAGCAGCTCCCGAGAGCCGAACCTGCGCTCCACACACATGTAGCAGGTGGGGGGTGGCGAGGGGCTGTGGGCCAGCTTGTGCAGGTCCAGCTCACCCAGGCCGTGAAAACGCTGGAAGCACACCCTGCACTTGTAGGGCGCCCTCCTGGCCTTGGCATTCCGGTCCCTGCCTGGGGCCCTCATGGCCCCTGACGCCTCCTCTGTCCTTTTGCTCTGTGGCCCCTGGGAATTTCCTGTGGCCTTGAAGTCTAAGAAGCTCATGCTGGGGAGAGCCACATGGTCTTTGCAGGAGCCCAGAAAGCACAGATCTTGCATCTCAACTTTGGTGCTGAGCCTCTCAGCCTCTACAGTCTTGCCCGGGAGCCCGTAGTCGTAGTGTTCTCGCTCCAGGTTGGGGGGCTCAGGGCTCACGTCTCCGAGAGAAGAGGCAGTCTCATCAGTGGAGGCCCGCAGCTCCAGGCCTCGCCAAGCTGCTGGGACCATGTGCAGCTCAGGGATGTTCTCCGACGGGTGGTCCTCGGCACTGCAGGAGGGTTTTTGCTTGGCACAGTCTGCTTCCGGGTCAAGCTCCAGGGCCCATAGGCTGGGTCCGGGGGCCCAGGGGTCAATGCCAGGCACCTTGCTGCTGAGGAAGCCCTCCAGAAGGAAGGACTCGGGCAGGCCAGTGGCCTCGTCACCCCACGGGTCCTCGAGGGACAGGCAGAGGGAACCGGAGTCACTGAGATCTGTAGGCATGTGGGCAGAGGGCAGAGTAGCGCTGCCTTGGAACTCCCCACCAGGCTCCGGCAATGGCGGGGGCTTTGGCTTTTTACAGCGCTTCCCGTAGACTCGGGGGTTCTTCTTCCGAGTTAAGCGGTTGCCGAGAGGGAAGAGCTGGGAAAAGGAGGCTTCGTCATCAAATAAGCTCAGAGGGTCCCCGAGACCTGGGCTGGGAGCTTCAGGAGTGACGCCTTCATGCTCCTGGACCCTGTTTTCTGGGTTGTGCTGGGGGCCCTGGAGGCAACTGCTGATGGTGTCACCTGCTTCAGAACCACAAGTCTCTGGCGGGCCTGGCAGTCCCTGGGGTTGCTTGTGCCCTTCCCAGTCTGTCTGCCCTGACATGCAGTCAGTTGCTCTGCTGTCCCCTGCAGGTGTACTCCTAGCTGCCCTTGACAGTTCTCTGCAGACACCCAGAATCCCGGTCTCTCTGGGACCCCAGCATCCCTTTGTCAAGGCTGCCTTCTGCCCCTCCAGTCCTTTCCCAGGAGGCACCCCTTCCATCCTTCCTGGAGGGGTCACCCAATTCCCAGGTGATTTCTGTGCAGGTGTCTCCTGCAGGTCTGTGACTGCGGGGAGAGGCAGCTGGCTGACCTCTGTCTCCTGCTCTGCCTCCTGTGAGAGGCTGCAGCTCAGAGGGAGTGGGTAACTGACAATTGCAGTTGATGGATTCCAGCGGCTTCTATCTGAAATCACATCAGGAGAGACTTGAGGATCGCTCTCCTCCCGGAACCTTCTCGCTCTTGGCTTTCTTGCTTTCTTATTTGATTTCCCCGCTGACTCACTGGGGATGTTCACAGACGGTCTACCCCGCCTCTGGCCTCCTCCTCTCTCTGTCTGTTTGGGATAAGGCTCATCCCTTGGCAGCAAGCCCCACTTCCTGGGCTTTGCAGGCCTTGAGCCCACTCCTTGCTTGACCGGGCCCAGGGGGTGTGGTTCCTGGCTGGGGGCACAGCCTAATGTTTTCAGAATACCGAGCTCCTTGGCCATTTCGGGGCCTGGAGCATCCTCAGAAGCCATGGAGCCCTGGATGGGAGGTGACATTGCTGCATGGCTGGGGCTGCTCAGCCTGTGCCTTGGTTCCTCCTTCCCATGACCCCTGCGGCTTTTCTTCCCAGGGGGGTGGCTCATCTGGGCTGCGGACTCCCCAGGTTGGGGAGTGGGCAGGGCTGGAGGGCTTGGCTGGGAGGTGGCTTCCCTGTGCAGCTTGTGCTTCCTGGCTTTATGGCGACTTAGGCCTGGCCTGGATCTGAAGGTGGCTGAGCAGACCTCGCAGGTCACGGGCTGCCTGCTGGGACCTTGGTCCTTCCAGAGGCTGTTCTCGGTAGACATGGGCTTCTTTTTAACGCCACAAGCCTTCTGTTTGGGGTCCTGGGTACATAGGAGGTCCCCCTGGGGCATCTGGTGGAAGACATTTCTGAGGCTCTGGGGGGAGTTGGGTCTGGAGTTGCTGGCTGTGCTGCTTAGAGAGGTGGCTCTGTCCTGGCAGACCTCTTCATAAGGGTGGGTGACGCTCAGGCCTCTGGTGCCAGCTCCTGAGGCCTTTGCAATGTTAGGGCGGCCAGCACCAGGTGTCTTAAGGTCCTCTTGGCCCTGGGGGCTGGCCCCCGCCCCACTGTCCAGGCAGGCATGGGGCTCTGGCCCGGCTGTCCTATGGGTGGAAGAGTCAGTGGGCACAGTAGTGATGCTCTGGCTTTCCCTATTTCCTGGGTGTTCTGAGGAGGGGCCCTTGGGCGTCCTGTCTGGGCTGGTGTTGGGCATGGCTCCCCTGCAGTGGGGGTCTGGCCACTCAGTCCTGCGGCCTCTGGCTGCCTCCATGCCATCTATGGCGGGGATGCCAGGTCGGGCAGCAGCCTTGATGGTTACTCTCGGGGACGTGTCCCTCGCTGGGAGAGGAGCAGTATCACAGGCAGGAGATCCCCTCAACCTCTCTTTTCCGGAACCCTCTAGAGATCTTGACATGTGGCCTTCAGGGTGGTCCCCCACATGGGTGGGAGTGAAAACACTGATGAAGTTGGGCTGGCCTATGGGAGGGTCTTCGAGGGGGATTTGTTCCCCTAGGAGAGGGCAGCAAGCCCGGCTTTCCTTGAGGTCACAGGGGCTTGTCCTCAAAGGTGAGGGGGTTGCCAGGTACCCTTTGGCCCTAGAACCTGTGGGATCCGGGGTGCACTCAGCCCTTTTCAGAGCTGTGCCGACGGAGGAACAGGCTGGCAGGTGCTCTGTGCCGGTGGAGTTGCCACAGGAGGGAGACGCCGGAAGCAGCCCCCTTAGCTCACCCGAAAGCACTGCGGGAGGGTCCTCCTGGAGCAAGTGCTCAAGGCTGCAAGGAACAGGGATGGTTGCAGAAGTAGGCGAGGGTGTACAGCCAACCGGGCCCCTCATGGGGAGCTCTGGGCTCTCTCCAGTGACTAGCAGGTGCTTCTTAAGGCTGGGGCCGGTCACCTCTCGAATCCAGTCCTCAGGCCCACTTTGGGCACGTGTTGCTGCCAGGGCCAGGGCCAGAGATTCCGATTCAGAAGAGGTGGGGCAGGGTGCAGACTCTGCTTCATTCTGAAGGCCCACGTTCAGCCTGCTTCCCTGGACCTGCCCCCCTAACTGGTCTGCAGCCCCAGGCAGGCTGTCCTGTGTGGTTTCAGGATCAGCATTGACTGTGGCGAGGTTGTCTGCTCCCCCAGGGCTCCCCCAGTTATCTGGTTGCAGGTGGCTGGCTTTGCCTGGGCCTCTGAGCTGCTCAGCCTGGCTGAATGAGCCCAGATGATCATCTGCCTCTGGTCCCAGCTGACATCTGGTCATAGCAGGGATAGCTGTTATCTGCATACCCCGCTCTGAGCTCTTAGCAGGGCTCTGGACCATGTTCCCGCATTCCACGCTGTCCCCTTCCACATCTGAGGGGTTGCTCTGTTGAGGGCTCTGGGCATCGGCAAGCAGGGACCCCTGTAAGTCCGGGGCGGCATCTTCACTCTCAGCTGCTCTGGCCACCAGTAGCTGGAGTTGACGTATTGGGCTTTCAGAGGGGTCCTGGGGCCTCCTGCCAGGACTGGTGTCGGGCAAGCAAGCAGGACTTGGGGAGGCTCCTGCTGGTACAAACTCCTTGTTACCCTCAGAGCCAGGGCCCCCTGCTATAGGGTAGAGGGGACCTGCTCCTTCTGGCTCATCTGTGCTGCTTACAGCATGTCCCTTGAGGACCTCACTGTGACTGGCACCAGGAGGTGGGGTGGTACCCAGGTGCAGAACCCCGACACCCTGAAAAGCCAAGTCAGGTGCCAGATGGGCAACAGGGCTGTTGAGGGCATCTCGGCAGGGCCCCTGTGCCTTGCAGGATCCTGGGAACAGCCCCTTCTGAGTGCAGGAAAGAAGCAGCAGGATATCTTCGTTGTGATGGATTCTGGTGGCCCTGTTACTTTTAGGATGCAAAGGCTCATGGTTTGGGCTGCTTTTTACTAAATCTCCTCTGTCCAACGGAGGCTTGAGTGGCTCTCCGGGGTCAGGTAGACAGGCTTCTGGGCAGACCCTGCAGCCCTCCTCTGCTTTGGGGAGCCCCGTCCTAGAGACTCTGGTGTCCTGCACTGGCTGGAAAGTGAGGCTAGCCCCAGTGGGGCTAGAAACCTGGTCTTTGTGGCTATTAGGGGGAGTGGCTGCTTTTCTGGGGTGAAATGAGGACCATTCCTCCTGAGGGTTCTCCAGAGTCCCCTCTGTGGTGGCCACAGCTGATTCTGCCCCTTTCTGGCGTGGACTCAATTCCCCAAGACCAGTGAGGTCAGCTGTGGGGAACGAGTCCTTTTCGGGGGAGGCAGCCTGGTGCATGGGCAGGGGGGACACTGTGTCCAAGCGCGTCTGGCCCATGTTCTGAGCTTTGCGCAGCAATCCTGGGACCTCGTGCTCACCTTTACTTTCCAGCTGACTTTCTAATTCGGTGACCAATCTTTTGATCTCTAATTCATCCTCAGACAAGTTGCCCATAAAAGCCATGTTACATTCGCTAACCTTGGAAGGCAAAGGGGGAGGGTTGGTGGCCACTGTCCTTTCACGAGGACACTTCTTACTGAATACCTTTTCCCTTGAGAGGTCAGAAAAATGGCCCAGATGGCTGGATAGCATCGGAGAAACTTCCTCCAATAGGGACCAGCCCTTCTCAGGCAGAAATGAAGGGTAAGATGGGTCTAGCTGGGGCTTCCTTGGGGGAGGGTCGATGCATGTAGATGGTGAGTGTGTATCCCCATTTCCAGACAGGCTGCTGTACATCGGTGAATCAAAGTCACCCACGGGCATCCCCGAGAGAAGGGGTGTGGACTCTAAAGCCAGTGGTGATTCGGCTTTGCCTGGCTCTGTGTTGACCATGGAGGGTGGATTCCTGGGAGGTTTTGACTTGAGGGAACTGGCGTCTACACCATCTTGGCGAAGGTGCATGTTGCTGGCAGGAGGAGTGTCCGGAGCTAAGGGCTTGGAGTACAAGTCTTCACCGAAACAGCCAGCCAGGTCTTTGGGTCCAAGGAGCAATTCATTGTGGGGGCTGCTGTAGGGCTGGGGCCCCCTTTTGGCAGCTGGAACCACAGAGTCTCTGTTAAAAAGAGCCGGGTCTCCCCCAAGATCAGGGGTCTTTAGAAACAGGATGCTGGCCTCGGGATACGCAGCGGCAGTGCTAGTGATGGGCACCAGCAATTCTCCTGGCAGGTAGGCAGGGTGTTCCTCTTCATCATGAGAGATGGGGGGTTCCGTGCACCCGGGGTCCCTCAGCAGACTGCCTGCGCCTGGTGCCGACGAGCTCCTGTGGGGCACCACGGTGTCCTCCCTGCCTGGTTGTGGTCGCTCTGGGGCTGGGGAACAGGGACTTCCTTCCACACAGGTGGGCGGAGGAGAGCCGGAGGCATCTCTGAGAAGCTTTGTGGTGTCAGGTGGAAAATCTTGATGGAAGTCCAGCGATGAATGGTTCTCCTCTGGGATCTTGGCACTGGTGGGAACCTCTAGGAGACACTTGGGGCCTCTCTCCTTAGGGCCCTCTCCGGTCTTAGGGCTTTGCAGTGGGCCGTGGGCCTTGGGGCTCTCACTGGGGCCTGGGCAAGGCCTGCCTGGCTTTGTGGTTTCCTGCCTCACGGCCTTCCTGGGTTTCTGCTGCTCCTGATCTTCTCTGGAACTCGGGGTCAGGTCTACTTCCTTTCTCTTCTCACCTCGGCGCCACTGCCGGCAGCCGTGGCGGGGCTGGCCTCTGAAGCGGGGGCCCCGTGGCTGCAAATGGTCCTCCTCCTCTGACTCGGAGGCGTAGTCATATTCCTGGAGCCTGCCATCCTGGGTGCTGGGTGCGGGACTCTCAGTCTCCGGGGAGGGGCACCTGCCCTGGCCACGCTGCGCCTGCAGCTTGTGCAGCTGGTTCTTCTGTTGCACGATCTTGTGGATGAGCTCCTTGCTCCAGGTGCCACCCCGTGCCCTCGCTCTCCTGGAATCTTTCCCCGGGGACAGTCGGAGGCGCTTGGAGCTCCTGGTCTCCGCTGGAAGGGCCCTACCACAGGGATCTGTGTGGTTCTTGAGAGCTTGGGTCCTGAGGTCCCTGGGGCGAGGTGGGACTGGCTCAGCCCTGTCGCCCTTCCTCCTTGGCCTCAGGCAGGTGGCTCTGGTGCCCCTGCCTGACCTCTTGGCAGTGTTGGCTGTGTCCAGCTCTCTCTGGAAAATCTTAAACTGCTTCCCTCTCTTCGGCTGGCTGCCCGGGCTGGCCCCATCTGCCTCCGTAGTCACTAGGCCCAGGGATCGGGTTTTGGGCCTGTTGCAGGCCGAGTGGCCCCCGTCCCCAGGGCGGGGAGCCTGGGGCTCTGAGGCTGGGAGCGGGAGCTGAGCTTTGTTCTCTGGTGTGGCCCCCACCCTTGTCTTGGGGGGTAGCCCAGCACTGGGACCTCTGGGGCCAGAAGGTTCTTCGTCGGCAAACACATCGATGAAGCTGCTGTCGATCTCAGGGTTGTCTGACTGGTATTCCAGGCCGTTGAGTGTCTCGGTGATGAGGCTGTCCAGCTTGGCATCATCCTCCAGGTCCAGGTCCGCAGCAGAGAGAGGGAAGGGGGCAGTGGTCAGGCCAGGCAAGAAACTTGTCCTCAAGGGGTCATCTTTGCCATCAACCCGGACGTCTGCCCCTAGCAGGAAGGGGACTGTTTTGGTGTGGCTGAGCAGGCTTGGGTTCCCGCCGGCTGCTGCTTTGGGAGCAGCCAGCACGGAGGCCGTGGCGGAGGGCGTGGGAAGCTCCGAGGGTTGCTGGTGGCTGTCCTTGGTCCTGGCCACGCTGCAAAACTGCCGGTGCTCCAGGAAGGTGGCCAGGCTGCTGTAGTTGCGGTCGCACTGCTTGCAAGTGAGCAGCACGTCCAGCTGGTCCAGGCTGGCGCTGCTGAGGGGGAAGTGGTGGACAGAGTAGGGGGGCGGCTCTGGGGGAAAGCCCTCCAGCCCCCTGCTGCCCACCTCAGGGCCCACACTCGGGAATGGGGCCTCCTCCAGGCATTTGAAGGTGCCCTCGGCCCCCAGCCCCTCTGTGGGGAAAGGAAAGGTCTTGACTGGCTCTGACTGGTAGTGGATGGGGAGGCTGTGTGAGGGCTCGGGGGATGGGAAGGGGCTGCTCTTCTCCTGGGAATGACTGGGGGTGTGGAAGAAGGCAGAGGGCCCTAGGGGACCAGGGAGCTGGCTCTCCTCTGAGCTGGGGTTGGCTGGGCTGCTGGACAGTGGTGACAGTGATGAGCAGGTGCTGCTGCCGGCTGTGTTGGTGGCAGGAGAGGGCAGTGGGGACTCACTGGGAGAGGCTGCCACCAGCCTGGGTTGGGGCAGGCCAGGGGTCCCTCGGGGCGAGACCTGGGGCTGGGTTACCCCAAAGAACAGGGGCTGGGTTCCAGGGTCCTGCAGCCCATTGTAGGGGAACAGCCTTGGGGAGCCGCTGCTGTGCTGGCCTGGGCTGCTCCTCAGCACTGCCAGCTTCTCCCCCAGCCCAGGTGTCTTGCTGGCAGCGACCAGGGCTGCATGGCTGCCCCCCTGCCACTCAGGGGTGCCTGGGGGAAAAGGCAGCTGGCTCAGCATCTCCACGTCGTGGGGTCTGGGCCCCGTGGCCGGGAGCACCTGGGGCCAGGGCAGCGCGGGGTTCTGGGGAAGGCCAAGTCGCTGGCCTGGGCTTGGCTGGCCTTCAAAGAATGCACCCCTGGAAGTGGCTGGGGGGCCCAGGGGAGGCGTGGGGTAAGGAGCTGCGGTGGCATCCCACAGTTGGGGCAGTCTGGTAGGTGGGGGCCCTGGGGTGGCCAACTCTGCATCCAGAGACCCAGGACTGGTGCCCACTGCACTGGCTCCCGGGCTTCCATATGCCTGCGGGGAAAAGTGCCTCTGGGACAGAGAGTTTGGGGGTCCCCTGGGACTCCCCAACCCATTGTGGGCTGAAGGCGGCCTCTCAGAGAGGGCTTTGGTCAGGCTCTTGTGCAAACTGTCTGGGAAAGTGACCGCGCTCTCTGAGAAGGGGCTGGGGGCTGGGTGAGCAGCACCAGTGGCGGGGAGAGCACGGCCGAGGTCACTGGGGGGGTCAAGGCGCCTGGGCTGGCTGGGGTAGCAGGGTGGGGGTGGAGGAGCAGGCTGGGTGGGCAGCGAGAAGGTCGAGCCTGTGCCCACCGCTTCCTCCTGCCACTCCCCCCGAGGCTGGCAGAAGGCAAACACCAGTGCCCTGTCCGAGTAATCAGGCCTCGCGGTGTCCTTGGGGAAAGGCTTCGGGCTGGCCCCGTGCAGCGCTGGGAAAGGGAACTGGAAGGAGGCCACCCTGGGGCTCCCACCTTCAGCAAAGGGCTCCGGCTCTGTGGAGAGGACCCTGAAACTAGCACCTGGTAAATTGTTCTCAGCAGTGGGAGGCCAGGCATCAGCCCCCCTGGCTTGGAATTCGGAGTAGGAGGCTGGCCTGCAGGGGCTAGCATCGCGGTTCTGGGGGCCCCTGAGGGGCGGGGGCCCTGGGGTGGCACTTGGTGAGGTATAATTGGTGGAGGTAAAGCTGGAGGGGGTCTCCTGGAAGCACCTTTGGAAGCTGAGCTCTTCCGTGGCAGGAGGGGCCTCTGTCTCTGGGGGCCCGGTAGCCTCGTGCTGTGGGCCCTCGGGGGTCTCGTCCAGGGTGGGTCTGGCCCTTGAGCCTGAAATGCTCAGAGTGTAGAGCTGCTGGGGGCTGCCGTCTGCCCTGTCTGTGTGCCGTGTGGGAGCCTGCGTGTGGCTCCTCCCTAGTGGGGTCCGGGGGCTGCCACCCTTTCTAGGGGGGCTGCTTAGGGGCTGGGTTCTCAGGAGGGGGACCTTGGGCTCCACCTCCCTAGCCTCCCCAGGCTGGGCATCAGGGGGTTCCATGGCCTGGGCCCCACTGCCCGCCTCCCTTGTGGCCTTGGCGGTCCTGCTGGCTGCGGTGTCGTCCTCGCTGCGGGGCTGGGTGGCTGTGCCACTGGCCGTGCCACTTGCCATGCTGCTGGTTGTTTGACAGGACTGTAGGCCTCTGGTCATGGTTGGGGCTGGTGCTCCACGGGGCTGCTCCCCAGGCATGGCCCCTTTTTCTGGGCGCTAGGAGGACGTGGTGGTCCGAGGAGGTCCATGGGGAGTGGGCTGGCGGGCCAACCTCGCCCCTCGGGGGGCCCTGGAGAAGCCTTCTCTCATGGTCCTGGGTGGAGCCTAAAGGGAAAAGATGGAAGTGAGTAGGGAGCTGGGGAGGCTCCCTGGCCCCCATGGAGGCTGTGACAGGCTGGGAGTGGAAGCCACTGGCACAAAAGCCCCCGCCTTTAGAGGAAGGAACTCGGCTCCAATGGCACTTTGAGAGACGAGCAGAAAAGTGTTACTGCCAGACTGAGCATGGGGTTGGGGCTGCGGGGAAAGGGAGGGAAGGAGAAAGGAAGAATGTGTTGTTTGGGGTCTGAGGGTCTCAGAAGACTCCTGGCCACCTCGGAGCAGCCCTGTTTGGCTCTGGCCAGGCTGTGGGCTAAAGGCCCTAGACCTGCAGAGGCCCCGGGGTGGGGATAACAGGCGCCTGGTAGCTATCTGTGTGCTACAGCCCAGGTGGGGTGAGGGGACAGCCCAGGCAGGACAGAGGAGGGGCTTCGTATCAGAAGCCGAGCTGGGAAATAAGGGGTGAGATGATGTACAACTGAGTCTGGCCTGAGGCCCCTGGTCCTGTGACCATCTTGCAGCTGCTGGGCACAGGACAGCCTCGGGCCACTTGCTCTGGGGGCCCACTGGTCAGCTCCCCGGGGTGGGGTCTGCATCTGTATTTCTAGGCAGCGCCAGGCCCTGCTGGTGCTCTCTCCCAGTGTTTGGAGACCTGCCCAGGGATCGTACCCATTGAAGAAGGGTGTTCTTCCTGATCTGGGGTACAAGCATCCCTGTCTTTCCTGGGTGCGGATGGTTCCAGTACTGGCCAGCAGAGGTTGCCACACTGTGCCCCTCCCCGCCGTCAGCCCTGTGGACCCTCCCCTAGCCCTGTGGCCTGGGTGCCCCTCCCTTCCTAAGCAGAGGTCTCACCACCTCTCCCGGGGCCACACCCTCCAGTCCCCTTTCCGTCTCAAGACTAGGAGACCTTGGGGCAAAGTCTTGTGGGTGAAGGTTGTTGAGCAAATAGATGAGAGCAGTAAGAGCAGTGTGAGCTCCTTCTGAGTGTGTGGCTGGGGCCGGGGAGCGAGCGCTTCCCATCAGTCACTTCTCTTGTTCTCACAGTGGCTCTGGAGGCCAGAACCATTAGAGCTATGGGGAGATGAGTAACTGCCCACAGCCTCACAGCTAGTGGAGGTCACTGGGTCCCCAGGACGGACCTGCTCCACCCGTACCACGCATGGTCTGGACACCCGACTGGGGCCAGGCTGTGCCCGGCCCCTCATAAAGCCCCGTGCAAGAGAGAGGGCAGGGCCTGTGAGGTGTCATCCTCCTGGCTGCACTTTGAACTGCCTGGTGCAAGTCTTGGCTCAGCCACTGACCTGCTGTGGGACTTGAGACTAGTCCCTCAGCCTCCTTGAGCCTGAAAAATGGGGATCCCAGGAGAGCCTCTGATGAGGCTGTTGTGCGATGACAGGAGTCACTGTGTCCAAACTGTGTAATAGGTCCCTTGTGAGTCATCTGCTGTTTGTGTGGTTTTCTGATTATCCCTGTTTATGCCTGAGCCTAGGTCCCCGAGCTGGGGAGCCTGCCTTGTCCCCACAGCCTGGAGTCTGGCGCAGGGTGGGCACTCCTGATTGAGGAGAGGCCAGTTTCCGCGCCCTTGAAACAGGGGCGATAACGGTGCCACCCGCACCAGGTCGTCCTAAAGGTCAACATTCTTGTGATCTGGCATGGTGCCTGGTGTGCAGGGGCACCCTCTCCTCTTGCCTCTGCAGGCTTAGTGTCCCCATCTGTGCAAGGGGTTGTGGCCTTGCTTCTCCAGGGGCACTGCCTTCAGGCTGCAGCCATATCTGAAGTGGGGCTACCTGGGCCATCTTGAGTGGGCTTAGGGGCAGAGGCCTCTGACCTCATGGCCCCACCTGCTCTCAGAGGCTCTGCCTAGAAAGCTCCCTGCTGGGACTCAAGGTGGTAAATCGCACTACTAAGATTCTGCTGTCCCCGTGGAAGGGTTGTTTCAGTTTGTCCCGCTGCCGGCAGGCTTGCCACATGGCTCCATTCAGCCACTAGCTGTGAGCAATGGTGACTCATGCTACTTCTTAGCAGAGATGGTTCAACCAGAGATCCGGAAGCCTGACTCTTGCTGCCTTTTTGAGTGCTGAGGTCACAAGCTGCGGCCAGGTAGTGGGCTGACTGCTTGGTCTTGGGGGGCGGGCACTGTCCATCTCTGGCCTCCCTTCCCCATAAGCCAAGGGGGAGGGGGTCAGGCCAGGTTATCTCAAAGGGTCCTTTTGTTCCCAGCAGCCAGAACCAGCTTCTCTTGGCGGGAAGGACAGTCCTTGGGACTGACCCCTCGTTCATGCATGGACACTCACAAGAGCACTTCTGGACATCTGCCTCATGACCAGCATTTGGGGAGAAGATAGACTGCAGTTTTGGAGATTTGACTCTGGCTCAGAGCTCCTGTAGGGCCCACAGATGCTGGGCATGGGGAGGGCAGGGAGTGGCATTTATTAGATACCTACTGCATGCTGGGTGGGACTTAACTTGGGTCTGGGGGAGCTGAGGAGGGGACTTCTGCATGGCTGGCACTAGAGGAGGCTTCCTAGAGGAGGTGGCATCCATTCTGGCCACGTGGACAGAGAGGGCATGTGAGGGTGCGAGCTATGGGCACAGCCAGATGCAGGGTGGCTTGGAAAAACTGGGAGAAAGAGTTCTGTGCCCTGGGAAGGAATTGTGGGGAGCTGGGCCAGTTCCTGCAGGAGAGGGAGGCCCTTACAGGGCGGGCAAATGGGACCCCAAGTGAGTGGGTATCCAGGCTGCAGCCAGCAGTGTGGGCAAGGTGACCCGCCTTTTCATGCACTCTGACCCAGGCTAGGGAGTATCCTGGGAGGCCCCCTTTGCCACTGGCTCCGGGGAATGCTCTTTACCCAGTGGCAGGGCAGTGGTCCCGCAAAAGTCTGGCCAAGAGCTGGCTCTGAGCCAGTTGGGGGTTGGGTTGGGCCCTTCCTAGGAATAGGAGGGGCATCTGGCCTGATAGCCCTCCCCTCCTGAACTTCCCAGGCGGCCTAAGGGGGCAGGACCCAGGCTGACTTCCAGACCCAGGCCCAGGGCTCCAACTGCAATAGGCAGTGAAGTCCATGGGGTCAGGTGTGTAGAGGCACTGAGGACCTCTGATCCTGCACGGTCTCCTTCCCCTGCCCCCGAACAGGCTGCTACTGGGACACAACAGAGGAGGGGGGAGGCCTGTGGCCCAGGCCTCCCTGCTATTTCCAGAGCTTTTCAGGGGGTGGTGGGCAAGGCCAGAGTAGTCATTACACAGTGATCCCTGCAGATCCAGGCTCTAAGCAGCCTGGGGAGGGGGGCCCCTGGTTCTGATTCACCAACCAGTGCCAGCTGCACATCCCCAAGCACCTCTCTGAGCCTCAGTCAGCCTTGGCTTCTCCATCTGTGATCTAGGAACAGCACTGGAAGCTATCTCAAGGGTGTGGCAAAGGAGAAGGCATTGAATAACCTCTTCATAAAGCATTTAGCAGAAAGCGTGGTGGGGGCTGATATTTCCCTGTTAATACTGTAACTGTTAAGTCTTGTCATCCCTCTTGCCCTGATTTGCTCATTGGCACGAAGGAGCTGTAGTGAGGAGGCTACGGGAAGGGAGTTGTGGGGGAAGGCTGGGTGGGTCTGAAAACGGGAAGAAGTTGCTAATTTGTTGGTTTGAAACAGCTGTGTCCCAGGCTTCCTTCAGATCTGAGGAGGCCTGGCTTACTGGCCCCTGGAGAACTTCAAGCGACAAGCTGCCGCTGTCGTCCTGAAGAGTCCTCTCGCCCAGTTCAGGGCCGTGGTTAGGAGCCACGTGTCAGTCCCAGACAGTTGGCTCAGGAAGCCGATCTCTTAGGGAGGCAACTGGCATCCCCAGTTATTGCCTGAGTGGGGAGGTGGAGGGAGTTGGCCCCGGTTGGGGGGTGGTGTGGGGTGGGTGGGGAGGCTGGGACGAGGGCATCTCCGGCCAGGTGGCGACCAGCTGTCCTTATCTACGTACCTGGGGAGTCAGGCCCTCAGCTGGGTCGCCGCACAGCTTCCTGAGGAATGAGGACTTCTTGGCTGCAAGGAAAATGGAGATTGTGTCAGAATCCCTGTGGTGCCAGGCAGAGGGAGCGACTCCCAGGCGAGGCCCCCCAGCGCCATGCAGAGCCAGGAGGCCCGAGGGGGCCAGGAAACCAGCAAGGAGAGATGGTGAGCTCAGGAGGCCAGCAGGCAGCTCAGTCTGGCCAGGGAGCCCAGCAGCATTAGGGGTCAGCTGGCTGCCTTGCCCCAGGTTTGTTGATTATTTTACATTTTTTTTTGTTAAGTTCTTACGCACAGACTATACATTCATGTGTCTCCCAAACTTGAAATAGTGTTCAAAGGTCTGCAGTGAGGAGTCTAATCCTGTACCCTGGCCCGTTAACCCTCTTCCCCGTCCTGCTGTGTAGGCACTTGGGAACTTCTTGTGTTTCCTTCCCGAGTTTCTTGATGTTAATACCAGCAAACCCCATTCCCCATTCTTCAACAAAAAAATAGTCTATTGCACTCACGATTCCAAACTTTTTTTGCATTTAACAACACAGCTCGCTGATAATTCTACAGCACTCTATAGATTCCTCTCTCTTCTGTCCATCTCTCCATCACATACAGCTACAGAATATTTGGCAGAATGGATAGCTATTGCAAAAATAAGCTGGATGGATAGCTATTGATATATCCAGACCCCTCCAGATAGACACTGGGTTGTCCTATATTGGGCCTTACACACAACAGAGCAATGACTCTGTGTGCCAGTGAGACCCACAGGGTAAACTCTAGGAATGGAGATGGTGGGTCAAAGGACAAGTGCATTTGTGATTTGGAGAGATATTGTGAAATTAATCCCTGGGTGGTTTTAAAATATGGCCACAATTTTTTTAATCCTTCTTCCTTGAAAAGATGGGGCCCAATTCCCTTTTTACAGATGTGGGCTGGACCTGGTG